GTAACTTTCCAGCATCAAGCCATTTGTCCATACTCAAAAGTAAAACTGCTCAGTGTTCTGGCTCATTCAGGGCCATTTCTAGCCATTTTGACACCCAGGCGAAATACCTATAATCAAGATCGTTTAAGATTACATAACAAACTGATTTTGTAAACACTCAAATCTTAAAAATCAACATTAATACACTTCTAAATTATATATAATTTATTTTCAGACTGCAGTTTCGATAGTAACGACAATGATGTGTGGAGATTCCACAAATCTGAACGCATTATTTGTAAATTGACTGTTAAGATATAAATTTTGCACTATTAATCATCTGTAATACCACTGGATGCCTGTATAGCCCTATATAAAATATATATATATAAACAGGTTTGTTAATCCCTAATTGCTAAGAATTTTTCATCACTCAAAAATAAAATTTGATTACATTTGTATTTGGATACATATTATCAATTGCCCCTTTCACACATACAGTCTTTACTGGTAAATAACCGGTAAATTACCGTTTATTTACCGTTACAATTATTGTTGTAACATTAGCAGTAAATGTTGTGGTCGCTGACATCTCATAGCTAGTTAGGTCAAAACAATCTGATTACAGAGAAATAGATGCTTTTGTCACTTTATTATGTTGCATCTGGTTAGACACGGTTTAACAATCTTTTCAAAGAGAGAATGTAATTTTCATAAGAGATGAGTCTTGCTGCTCGGCTGGAGTAGGTGTTTTTATAGTTGTGTGCATGTTCATATGAACACCTCTCATGTTCAAACATGTGGTAAAGAGTTGTTGCCAAATAATTGTTCCATTTCATTTTGTAAAAAGATAATTTATTGCCAATGAAAATAAATTTGAGTGTTGAGAGCCTGTCATCCCCGTCTCAACTCATCTAATAAATGACAAACACCCGCTTTCTGTAAGAAATCTGTTCATTTCTGCTAAGTTTAAGTTTTGAACTTCCCTTTTTGTGTTGTTTTTTTTATGTCTCTAATGTGACGTATTGATATTCAATGAGGGGAAAAATGTAGGGGAAAACTTGACTTTATCCATCAGGAATTACTTGAATGATGAAAAGGGTCTCTGTGCCCGGGCACTTTGTGATGGCAGCCAAAAAGGTAAATTATTTCAAAAGCTTTAGTGTAGTTAGAGCAAGTTAGAATATTCTGGTAAATGAATATGAAGATTTATTTTTATTCATTGTGCACCATTGAATGCAATGTTGAATTTAACAGCAGATTACAAACCGATTTCTTGGTAGTTTCACCCAACAAGCTGTTTCCTGAAGCTCAGGCTTTGCAGCTGCTGAACAGACACCACCAGGCCACTTCCTCATTTCCAGCTCTTCTCAGACATCTTTTACTCTCAAAAAACATGATCTCTTGAAACGTGAGCATGTGACTGAGACCATGTGACAGTATATATACTTACAGTACACTTTATTAGTACACAGTATTGGAAATCCCTGGAATTCCAGACATTTCTTCAATAAACTATAGAAATTGATATTTTATAGAACTAAAATAAAAGTTCCTACGGTATTGCGTAAACAAGATGCTCTCTTGCAGATAAAGATGAAAGTGATATATGTACTGCAGATACATATCTAGTCAACTTTGCAGGTCACGTGAGTAGAATCCACTTTGGTTAAATCCATATAAGCTTATATACAAAACTATTTTAGATGGAAAGATATGATTGATTTCTCATAGAGACACTAAGCAAGTGTTACAGCTAGTAATAACATGCTGGGTGACGTTATAATAACTTCTTATCTCTGTATGATAAGGAATTTTGAATATTGTTAGATGGAGATAAGTCTAAATCTGGCATGATTTTTCATTAGGTTATGCAATAAACCAAAAGGAAATATATTTTAATATATTCTAATCTGTAAAAAATTATAAATGCAAAGTTATGATTGCATTGAATATTTAAGTCAGATGCCTAACTTCAAATGAAAAGAAAAACATTTGAGCTTTATACTGAAGCATTGTACTGAGATATAGTTCAGGTGAGTGGCTCTACTGACATCTTGCGGTAAGAGAATGTAACAGATGTGTAAGTGCATTAAAAATGTATTAGTCTAAATCATATTTGAGACTTGATTTACAACTCACATCTGCTGGAGAAACATTAGTATTGCCTCCGTTTAAAGATAGAAAATGATTCCTATTAAGAAAGGCGTTTATGGTTCGGTTACTAACATTTTCTGTTGTATTCATCAGTTTGCAGAAAAAATAAGCTTTAGCTTTTTTGTTACCAATTAAGATGAATAGTGTTCATATTTATGCGATAAAGCGATTTAGATGGGCATATATATCCCAGTTTTGAACGCAATGACCGCAGTAATATATTAGTTTTTAAAATGACATTTTTAAATGCAGTTTAACGGCCGGTTAGCTCAGTTGGTTAGAGCGTGGTGCTAATAACGCCAAGGTCGCGGGTTCGATCCCCGTACTGGCCAGTATCTGTTTTGGTTGCAGTAGTGGCCGAGGTACACAAATCAAGTACTTGAGTAAAAGTACAGATCCGTATGATAAAATATTACTCCAGCAAGTCTCGAGTAAAAGTACTTGCTTTTTTATGTACTTAAGTAAAAAGTACTGATAGATGAATGTTTATTGTGCAGTTTTATATAGGCTACTTTTATAATTTTTTATATTAGCATATATTTTTTTATAATCCTACTGCTCAAAATACCTGGGATTTTCCCAAAATAACCAATAAGGAAATAATGAATATAATAAGGAAAATATAATTAGATTTTCATAATGATTTTTTTCTTCTCAAACCTTGTCTGTGGTGTAAAAACACCCCCTGGTCAAATGCCCCCAGAGGCCATCACTTCTATCTGTTTTGGTTGCAGTAGTGGCCGAGGTACACAAATCAAGTACTTGAGTAAAAGTACAGATCCGTATGATAAAATATTACTCCAGCAAGTCTCGAGTAAAAGTACTTGCTTTTTTATGTACTTAAGTAAAAAGTACTGATAGATGAATGTTTATTGTGCAGTTTTATATAGGCTACTTTTATAATTTTTTATATTAGCATATATTTTTTTATAATCCTACTGCTCAAAATACCTGGGATTTTCCCAAAATAACCAATAAGGAAATAATGAATATAATAAGGAAAATATAATTAGATTTTCATAATGATTTTTTTCTTCTCAAACCTTGTCTGTGGTGTAAAAACACCCCCTGGTCAAATGCCCCCAGAGGCCATCACTTCCCACTTTGATAATTACTGTATATGTTCTGAACATCACATTCTTTCTTTTTCCTTCAGATGTAATCTATCTAGGTGGTTGAATAAAAATATTTGGACTTAATTTTTTTTTAAAATACCTCAATTTAGCACCAGCAAGCTCGTTAGCTAGACAGTTAGCACCAGCTAACATTATTGACTTATTTTCAGCATGGTTATGAATAAACATTTATATTTGTCTACTCGGCTAGTTGATCCAGATACATAATAACTTAGACTATGTGTGCTGACAAACAATATAAAAACAGACGTCACATAGGGCTAAATGCATAGCATTTTAATAAAACTGCTAACGTTACAGCAGCGGGGAAGATCATTAAAATAATGTGTTATTTTAATGTTTTTTGACCTAAAACATAGAGACTCTGATGTTAATGTGTCTGCATTCAAGCATTTCAGTGGGCTTAAACAGATCACTCTTTACAGCAGATTTAGTTCACAAACTACTGACAGCTTTGACCTAAATATGATTTTCAGTTACAATAATTAATCCTAAAATTCGACATTAGTAACTTACTTTTAACAGCATTCTCACAAGATCTCCTGGTTCTTACTTGTGAATTAGTGATGGGTCGTTCTTGAACGATTCGTTCATTTTGAACGAATCTTTAATGTGACTCGGGAAGAACGAGTCGTCTCGGGGAGTGATTCGTTCAGTCCGCATGCGCAACATCCTATAGGTTCTGTACTGGAATTAGTCAAGTAGTTCACCTGTTTCGAGTCTTTGGGTTTTTCCGAGTCGTTCGTTCATCACGTGACAGCCCCATAAGCCCAAACCCGAAGACTCCTCAGATAAGAGGTGAGGTGAGCTAATCATAGACTGAAGACTCAGGTAAACAATGAATTCATCTTTTCTGTTTCTTATTGCAGTTTTGTATTGTTTGCAGTGTGATCAACGTTTGCTTAAGTAGTAGACGTGTTAGGGAAGTAACACGTAACATTTTAATTATATTTCGCTAAAATGAACGAAATGACTCGAAAACTAAACGGTTCATTTGAATCAGTGAGTTGTCGACTCGAGAACAGCTGCAATGGGATCATTCCAATTCGTGAATGAATCGTTTGGTGCGATTTGCGAACCGATTTAATGGGTTCATTGAAAAGAATCAGTTCGTTCATTAATCAGACACCGCTTCTGAGTCTCGGAGCGCGTGATATATTATGAGTAACGATAAGTTTTATGAAATGTAGTGAAGTAAAAAGTACGATCTTATGCTTTGGAATGTAGTGAAGTAAAAGTTACTCAAAATAAAACTAGATAGACAATACTTGAAAAATGTACTTAAGTACAGTAACGAAGTTAAACTACTCTGTTACTGTCCACCACTGGAATTGCCGTTAAATGGTTCTTTAAATTATAAGATGTATGTTATCTTATTATTGTTCGATACTAGAAAATAGTTCTAGAGCTTCAGCCGTCACTACACAGTTATTGTAAATGAAATGATCACAGATAATCGTTTTGATGTACTCTGCTTGACTGAAACCTGGCTAAAACCTAATGATTATATTGGTCTAAATGAGTCTACTCCACCAAGCTACTATTATAAGCATGAGCCCCGTCAGACTGGCCGTGGTGGCGGTGTTGCAACAATATATAGTGATATTCTCAATGTTACTCAGAAGACAGGATACAGGTTTAACTCATTCGAAATACTAATGCTTAATGTTACACTGTCAGATATGCAAAATAAATCTATCTAAAGCTGTTATTTTCCAATTGAGAATCGTGAGACCTCGTGGCGCAACGGTAGCGCGTCTGACTCCAGATCAGAAGGTTGCGTGTTCAAATCACGTCGGGGTCATGTGTGAAATGTTTTTGTCCCCACGTATTTTATCAGTGTAATCATTTTACCATTTTGGTGGAGTACAGGCCGTTACTTACAACTGACTGTGACGCCGTTCAGTTCAGTAAACGCTATCACTGTGCACACTGATTCATGGTGAAGTATTGCGACAGCAGTCGGTGGATTTTACCTTCATTACAATCTACATTTAAATAAATAATAAAAATTGTAGAACATTGTTGTGTTAACTAATCCACCATTGTGTAAAGTGTGAGAAAAAACAGGGCTCGTCCGGGATTTGAACCCGGGACCTCTCGCACCCTAAGCGAGAATCATACCCCTAGACCAACGAGCCGCGCGTCAGGGTATGTTCTCTGTCCATATACATAGTTTAAGGGTAAACATTAGGACACACCTCACAAAACATGGGCCAAGCCACTGTGCTGAACACAAATCTGATAGTCTGGACCTCACTGGACAGACAACAGACTCGGGAGAGTCAAGATGCTCAGGAAATGAAAGGGATTTTGCTTTGAGTTTTTTGAGGCCCTGAACTCTCCCACAGATCTGCAGGTGCTGCTGGGTAATTTTTCACTCAGAGTGACGGTGAAGTCCAAAGCCTTGAGCAGAGGAGCCACCTGATCTGCCTTCACTCTGGGCCCAAACACTTTACATAGTGATGAGATGAACCACTCAGAAATCCTACAGGACATGTAATAAACTAAACAGGGTTTTTCCTGCATAGAGAATTTCGATGCGCTGTCTCCATCAAATTTTGTGCCAACCTCTTGCTGTAGACAAAACTCAGGCAGGGAGTCACATACAAGCTTCACTAAACCGCGTCCCCTAGAGCTTTTTGTCCAAAAGTGCACATAATTGGAGAAATATTGATATCTTTACACGTTAACTTAATATTTATTTAGACAGAATCATCATTTCTATTAATTGAACTGAACTATGCAAGCTGATGAGCATTTGTGGCTTCCAGCACTGTCTGCCTGTGCTTTTACATCCGCGATCGCTGTTATGACTTAGAGGAAGAAAATTTGCTGTTCATATGTCACTCATATTACTCGTTCATAACCCCCCCACCATCTCTTCCAATTAAGAACTTCCGCTACACTTGAAACAAGAAGCTAATATACACGATTATGACAGTATATGATTTGTATGTGATTTTCATGCAATTTGGGGTATTTTCATAACAATAACACATAGTATTAATCTTATAAATTGTCTTATGCAGCATGATGCTAATAGTAACTCTAATGCACCTGTTAACCTTCTGCAATTATATTTGATGATGTATTCTGTCAAAAGAATTCATGCAAGGTCGTAAGAAACTGTTTTGTTTTATAGAACCTTTTTTTTTATATAAAATAAAGATATATATAAAATAATAAATGTGATTTTAAAGCGCACACACATCTTACTGTCTTAGTTTTTTAGATCTTTGAAGACACATTATCTTTTTGTCTATCCACATTTACAACTCTGTTTATGCTGCGTAAAAACATCAGTTGGTTTTCGCATTAGTCTGAACGATTCATTCTTCGCCAGTAGGCGGCACTTTTGGAGCAGCAGAAATAGAGCGGTTTCCCCGGTAACGGCAGCACTGCGCTGTGATGAGGGACATTTTAAGTTACTCATAGCTCTACTAACAGCACTATTGGAATCATCATCAATTCAGTCCGTTTCTGAGATGGTGTGAAAAGTAGTTCTACTCTTTGTACTCACAATTTTTTTTAAGCCAATAATCCTAACTGAGAGCAGAAAATATGGAAACAAAAGAGTAATGTTTTCACATGAGACTCTCACCTAAGCTGTGAGATGTAGGGCAGACACTGCAGGAATCCCTTCACTTCACTCTCTTCATCTGTCCAGTCTCTCAGCTCTACTGGTTTCTTCTCTGTTTGGAGTTTCAGCACTTCTAGGAGGATGGAGCTCTTTCTCTCTGAGAGGTTTATTCTCCAGACTGCAGGAGCTGACTGATAAATTGGCTGTAATGCTGGAAGGACACTCCTGCCTGTTTGAGTCTCATAGTCCTTCACATGTGAACACAGATCCAGCAGAAAATCACACTGATCAATCTGTGATTCAAAATCATCTAAATAATCCTCATTAAAAGGGAAAAATGTGTAGCTGCACACAGATGTTAATAGTTCTGTGTAATTTTCACCAGTCGTTTTATGAAACTCTGATGCTGAAATAATCAGATTCAGCAGAAACTGGAAAGACCTTTTCTTCTCATAGGGATAAAATCTGTGGAGACACAAATGTAAACACACTTCAATGTCTAGTGCTGGATAATATGAATATGGGAGCAGATTCATAATTACAACATTCATCTTTACAATAATAAAAATACATTCTAAACTGCTATTCAAGAAGTGTTTGAGCCGCCATCTTACTATTCCCTAGCAGCAGACAAAGACAGCCAAAACACTGACCTAAAAATCACCAGATTTGAAGCATAACAGTCGCACAGAATTTGTTTTTAGGATATGTGTATGTACAAGAAATATTATGATACAAGCCTTTGTTACTATATTGTATTGAAAAATGTAAAGTTTACCATGTATCATCATGGAAATAAAGCTTTGTGTCTTTAAGTCTGTACCACATGTAGTCAGCATTATTTCTCTAAATAAGTTAAGATGCATGTATTTTATGTCCTGATTGAGCAACATCTATTTCACTCTTCAAGATCGCACAGTTTCTATGGTATTTTACTAGCATTACAGTTTCCATTGGAGTAAAATGTTATGTTGAATAATAATGAATTTAACCAACATTTAAATCATTAACTGCCTCAAAATGCATGCTGTTAACAAAATCATTGTTGAAACATTTGCAGTTAGCCAACTGTATGAATAAAAACTATATAACAACACAACATAATAATATAAACAGTGAGCAGCCTGTACAAGCTGAATTAAGGTATATGTTACGCAGCATAAATCTTTCTTCAGATTTCACAATGAGCACTTTGTCATGTGTAATACATATGTTGAAGATCTCATCTGTCTGATGTTCATCATGTTCATCTAATGTTTGCTACTGTGATGAATATGTCACATGTGAACACAGATCCAGCAGAAAATCACACTGATCAATCTGATATTCTAAATAATCCTCATTAAAAGGGAAAGATGTGTAGCTGCACACAGATGTTAATAGTTCTGTGTAATTTTCTCCTTGATTTGCATCAAACTCTGATGCTGAAACAATCAGTTTCAGTAGAAACTTTACATCAGGTTCTCTCTTCGAGTTGAAAAAGTCAAACCTGTGGAGACACAAATAATTATCACTTCAATGTTCAATGTACAGTATGAACAAAAATACTGCAGGTGACAGTTAAATCATTTAAATATAAAATACATATGAAAGCTGATGGAATGATTTTAAAAGATGCAATGGCAGTTTGTATTTTAGTTCTAGTTGCCGGCTGTGTAGAGTTGTGTGTTGTAAATATAATCCTAAAGTGAATAATTAGTAGGCTAAAGTGTAAATTGTGAAATCTAAACTTATTAAAGTGTGAGTAATTTAAATAATTTCCTTAAAATTCTCATTTAACATACATGTAATTGGCACATATTCAGTTGATATGAACCGGCACTCAGTTTGAGCTTGTCCAAATAAATTACTTACATTTACTAAATGAGCCTACAATAGCAGAAATAAACCTTTTAATTAAAGTTAAGAATATTTAATGAAAATGATCATTCATAATAATGATATGAAAATGTTTAAGGAAATCAGAAATCATTTTTAAGGGACTGTTGTTTAATTCAGTTTTATACATGTCCTCATATCTATTTTTTTGTTCTAATGTCACAAGTAATAATCTCAAGGTTTACTGGGTTTTACCTGATTCTTTGATTCTTTTGTTGTGTGGGTTTGGTGAAGTGTACTAAAAATATCACATTGTTACGAGTGTCCTCCAAACTGACCCACAACTTAATCAGTAAAGACAGGTTAGCGTCCGGGACAGGGATGAACAGCTTAAATAGGACTATAATTCGATCAGGGATTATTATATGAGCATTTGGTAACTTTTATAGGTTTAAGTTTTAAGCTTTATTGTTTTCTTACAAATGTTGTTAGAATGACTTTATTTCAATAAAATATATTTGACAAAAAATAGACACACAAGACAACAACATTCAATTGCTTTGGTGTTTGCAGCACTACTGTCGACAGATTCTTCTGATGACAGAGCCCTGCCAAGGTATAGTTTTGAGTGCTGTTCCGCAAAATCCAAGGATCCTCTCATAATTATGGCAGTGATTGAGCATATGCTTAGAGCAATTTATACTTTTACATGCCATTGGACCTTCCGTTAAAAAATTTCTGGATTCTTTTTTCCTCCCTGTATTAATTATTCTGGACTCTGTTTTAATGGTTAAATTAAATTGTAGAAATCTAAAAGCATGTCTAATTAATTGAAATCATAAATCTTAAAAATTGTAACAACAACTTTATTATTATTATTTATTTATTACAATAATAGGGCCCTGTGGAATTATTTATGTATGCATGTATGCATTTTTAGAAATTCTGTGTTGTCCGTTTTAATTAGTTTTTTCTGGATTTTTAATTTAATACAAATGTTTTATCAAAAACGTTGGTAATCACATGAAGGCATGAAACATTAACTTTTAAAATGTAATCAAATGAAAATTTAACTATTACTTCAATTTTTGACCAAACAAAGTGCTGCACAATTACAATTAAAACATGGGAAAAAATGGTGTGATTATTCCTTAAAAAAATAAAGATTTAATAAATGTATTATTATTATTATTATTATTAATTCTTACTTTGACAAGCACATTCTAATGTACAGTAGTAATATATTTCTGTCAAAATGTTTTCAGCTTAAACGTGCAGCAAATTATTTCTGAGAAACGCTGTTGATATTTGAAATGACCAAAACAAACACGTTCCTACCCAAAAGGATCACACCACTATCTTGATAGCTCCGCCCCCAAATTCACAAACACACTATGCAGCAGGCACCTCCCCCATCATGAGTGGACATGCCTCTTACTGGTGACAGGCTAGAAGTGTGTTTGGTGCTCAATGCGATCCACTTTCAGCAGCGTTTCTCAGAAATCTCTTACTGCACCTTTAAACTGGCCTTTTATTT